TTTCTATACTGTGCATGCTGCTGCTGTTAAAGTTCATACCAGACATGCTTCATTAAAAACCATCAACAAAGTAAAGATTCGTAAAAAACTTTATTTCAAATTAAAACTACATCAATTTCATCAATTTAGTAAATGGATGAATTAAATAATGTGTGCAATTTACAATCAACTGTGACAAATTAAAAATAAAAGTTTGCATTATAAAGAGAGGTGGATAAATCTTATTTAGTAACAATTATAAATTATAGTAGAAATGTAAAAATAATACTTCATAGCTAAGTGAGGATGGTGCAACAGTCTGACTGTAAGCTATTGCAGCCGTCCATAAGTGATGGAGGTAAGGTGCAAAAAGTCCAGGAGCCTTTATTCATCATCAGTCTTCGTGTGTGACACAGTTTACATGTAGCAGACTCACAGTCTGAGGGAGAAGCTGTTCTGAAGTCGGTTCATGTTCTGCAGAATCAATTTAAAACACAAGGTGATTATACGTTTTACACTGTGGTTTTACAGTTTAACGTTAGCGCACATGCTAACTTCAACTACAATAACATTATAAGTTACTCTTCACATATATGACATTTGCCAAATGTGGTTGTATGCAATTAGCCTATAAGACAAATTTAACAGTTTACCTCGAATTGTGACAGTTAACAGTATTAGCAGCATCTTCGCACGGCTCAGCCAGGAGCCTGTTGCTGTCAGGTTGCTGATGCAGGTGGGTGTACTTAGCGTCCTCGGTGACACAGGTCAGATCCACCCCTCACTTCTCCCCAGCTCCACCCTCTCATCCAAATATGGTTTCCTCTGGCTCCAAAAAACCAAGATGGCGAAGTCCATTCAGCCAAACTCGAGGCTTCAAAACAACAGTTTCTTCTAGACTGGTAAGTAACAGCTGCTAATGCTAACAGTAGCTATGTACCAATAGCTAAACTTACCAATAGCTCCTTTAAAGTATTTTTTCACACACTAAGGGAGCTTTATGGCATAGAGAAATAACCTACATCAGGCTTTAGTTAATACAAGTTATTGTTGGTTCTGGTGATTTGTTGACACTCAGAGAAATATAGAATATCACCAGGCCTATCCTTTAAGTGTGCTGCTGCTGCTGCTGCTGCTGCTGCTGCTTTCTAGCTAGTACAAAAATCTGTATTTTTGAGTACTTATTTGAGCAATATGTCACACTTCCAGGAATAACGAATGAATGAACCACAGTTGATTGGACTTGCTGTGAGGAAAATTAAGAGTGCGAGTACTGTAAAATTACATCTAAAGATTATGATTATGATGAAACTTCTCATTCTATTGTAAAGCAAATTATACAGATTTTTGAGTGTGACGACTTGTTGCAGGGATAAGAAGGTTGTATCTGTGGTTTTGGAGACATCTTACAAGATAAGAAATTGAAATCACCTGTCATCGACGAGAAGGAGGTTATGTCCAGATAACCTACAGGGCGACATGGGCAGCTTTTGTCATTTCAGGGGTAATGGGCAGCACTGCAGTGTTTTTCGGTGGTGTCCAACAGGATTTTGAATAAATGGACATGCTACTTAGACAAATACAACAGCCACTATGAGCTGCAGTTACCATCAACACCATCCTGTAAGCAGTCTAACAGGGATATCCTGCAAAGGAAATTGTGGAGGCAAGTATGTGAGCACTGGATTGATTCTAAGGAGCTGTTTAGAGGAAAAAACTGATTTTTCCCAAGTCACCACTAGACAAATATGAAGAGAGCATTAGGCACAGGGTACCACTGTGTTATATGAGAAATTAATAAAAGCTTTGTAATGGTCTGGTGAAACATCTCTTCATATAATAGAGGGTTAGTTCAGAGTCAGTGTTTCCACTACATCATGAAAAGCTTGTCAAATGACAATATAAGAGCAGAGAGGGAAATGTACCTGCAAAGATGAGAATAGCAGTCTGCTGCTGTGAAAACGCAAGCTGCTCATTACAATGAAAATGAGAGGACTCAAAGGATAAAAGCACCAAACAAGGATGTGGAGTAAAAAAAAAAAAAACAATGTGAGGACCCTCTGGCAAACTCAGGCGCAGTCAAGCTGGCAAACAAATTTAAGAAATACCCTATTTACAGAAATAGAGCCAAGTGATACAGCAATCATGGAGCTCACAGGCCAAGCAGTATCACTTATGCAAATTATCCAGCAGGAGTCAACAAGAAAATCAGCTGCTAAGAGACCACAAATGCAACACATGGCCAGTCAGCGGGACAAAGTCAAATTTAGCCACCATTCTAAGTATGGCAGTGACATAGAGCTGCAGAGTCTGGGAGAAAACAAAACATTCAAGAAATGAATGGCAATTTTGACGGGTCACACCATGAGCTTAGATCCAAAGCCCCAAATACACCCAAATCAAAGGCAAAATTTAAGCCCACAAACCACAATCAGACAGAAAAAAACGAGCAGAAACCTCTTACTCATACAACACTCTAACAAAGACAAGGTGCAAAGCTGGTTAACAAAAACTCTCGTGTATGGAGCAAGATAAAAAGCATTTTCAAGCCCTGCAGGGGCTGCAGGAGCATACCTGTTACGAGTGTGGCATGGAAATCAAAAAACTTGCCTGAAGCACAAATCAGTCCAATTCATGACCTGTTAATAAATGAAGAACTGTTACACTTAAGCACTACGGTCAGCTACCAGTGTCAGTTTATATGATCGAAACTCTAAAATCACAGGCACTGACAAGACAGATTGTGCCGTTACAGGAGAGCAGAGACCCCTGGGTTTAGCTCCAAGTGGAGATAGAACATCCATCACCTCATTGTTAAAGGACCAGTGTGTCAGACTGAGGGGGATCTATTGGCAGAAATGGAATATAACATTCATAATTATGTTTTCATTCTTGTATAATCACCTGAAACTAAGAATTGTTGCATTTTCGTCAGGGTAGAATGAGCCCTTCATATCTACACAAGGAGCGGGTCATCTTCCACGGAGCTCATCTGAATTTATAACTGAAGAGAAACTTACCTGCTTGTCTGTTAAAACTATATTTGTGTTGTGCAGCGCATAGTTGTAGCAAGTAGAAATAATGTAGGGTGAATCATTTTTACTTGCAGCACATTATAATGCTAATTGTTTCAAGTTGTTTGTATGTAATTAGTTAATATTGAATGTTGCCAACACAAACATTTTAATACATTGTAAATTATTTCAAAATAAGGTGTTGAAGCATCATTTAGGAGGCGGTCCCAGTTGTTGCTGATGAGTGGTAGTGTCCAATGTGATGCCAGGTTAGATGCAAGCTTCACCAGAATAAGATTGCACTTACATTAATTACCTCATTTGAATTTATAGAATCTACCATGAACAAGAAATGAGGTTAAACCTGTTAAAGGTTGTGCTGCAGAGATTACATGTACCTTTTTTGGTAGATATCCAAATGAGATTAGACTGAACAACACTAACGTCATTTAGAGAAGTAATCACAACTATGACTTGAGTACTATGACAGGAATTGGAGTATTCTGAAAAATTTACCAACATACATTTTTCAGGGATCGGTGTACATTTAACAGGATTTAGCATAAGGAGATTGAAGAAATTAGATGTTTTTTGTTTGCTTTTGGAGAGGCTTAAACTCTGAAAATCTTCTAACCCTCCAAGGAAGTGGGAAGGGGAAAACTGGAGGAGTGAAAGAAAGGTTAAGGGAACATTGTTTCATATGTAACAGGTTGACATATGTGACATGAGGCTTCAGGTGTGGGAAAGTGTGTGTGGAGCCGTCTCTGTGACGTTGACTTATGTAACATAACCCCCATCGGCCTCTGCTTCCTGATCCCCTGTCTGTCTTCAGCTTATTCTTAAACATGCCTCACTGAAGAAAACAGACCTTTGAGTTCAAGCTTGTGGTATGTTGTCCCTCTGTTCATGGTTTACTACATGCTTTTTTTTTTTTTAAATCCTCGTTTAAGGATACAGTCTTATTTGTTTGAGTATATTACTGTGGCTTATACTGAACAATAATAGACAATTTCTATTACTTCTGTCTGCAAAACAGAAATGGCCTTTAATATTCACCTAAAATAGGCTACATGAATGTATTTATTACCATAAATCAACAGACAACTCATCCCATCATCTGTAATCCTCCAATTGGATTACACTAATAGCAGAAGTGATTTAAGGGATAGATAAAATAAGTAGTGCAGCACATGTTCTGAAAAAAAAAGGAAAAAAAAAAGCAAATGTTTAATGGAGTCCTGTACGCCTACCTAGGCTGGCACTGTTTCAAGCAGGCATGGATTACTACTAAATACGTGCTTCCTTCTATGACAGCTAAACACAGTCATTACAACTGGGACACCATAGCTGCTGGGTAGAGCTACTCTCGCACACCCATGGTTTTCTGAGCAGAATAGAATATGAATGTCAAAATAAAAAGGAAGATTTGAAGGGTTTTGTTAGATCCAAGTGATTTCCTACTCCCTCATTCATTCAGCTCCTTTTTGTTGTGTCTGTTACAGTTCTACGCTGTCTTTTCCCCAGCCTTCTCTGTCATGCATGTCTAAATCTACATTACATACTTCCCACAGCTGAAAAGAAGGATTTTACAGCCCGTCCCTTTTTTTAGCTTTTGTTTGATAAATCTTATCAGTCTCAGTCTTCATTCTTAGATTATTGGCCAGTGGCATCAGGATTTTTGGATAGAATGTAAATGCACAAAACATTTATTTGGATTTATTTTGAAATTGAGGTCGATTAGGAGATTTCACATATCCAGGTATATTTAGAGAAATTCCCAGTTTGCAACTTTAAACTATAGGAACAAGATATTCAGGCCTAGCATGCTGGTGGTATTTATCTTGGTATTATGCATGAGAAAAGAAATGTGTTGGTTTGGGAAGACTGGTATCTTTTTACAAGAACCTACGCAAGCCCTGAATGACCTTTTCCTATTCATGACCTGGTCAGGGTTTATAATAGACCGCAAGTCAGCATGTCAGAAAAGCAAGGACAGACACTAACAGAATGCACATGATGACAGGTAATGAATCTCACCTCAAGACAAAGAAAGTTGTGGATATGTTTTGTGATTGTGTGTAGTTAATGGATAGAGATCATTATTATATTATTATATATTATTATTATTATTATTATTATTATTTTCATTTATGTGCTCTGAAGACGGTAAATCAGGCAGCACTACAGCAAATAATAGAGGATGGTTTTGTGTTTTATGCATGTTTGGGTGAGTATCTACTTACGAAGATTTGTGCATGCCTTTCTCTTCAGTCAAGCAGTGGGGAGTATGGGCTGTATTGCTCTGGCCCTGTCTGTTTACTATGAGCATCCCTCTAGACTGTAAGGAAGAGCAGGGCAGCCTCTCCCGCTGCCTTTCCATCTCCCAAGAAAAACTTCTAGATCGAGTCATCCAACACGCTGAGCTCATCTACCGTGTCTCAGAAGAATCATGTTCTATGTTTGTGAGTAAATCTTTGCACTTGCGAACCACTATGGGGAAAAAATGTTTCAGCTGATCTGTTGCATCCACAGGCTCTTACTCTTAAATAATATAGCTGAATATATATTATATACACACATATATATATATAGATATATGTATATATATCTATATACTGTATATATAGATATATATATAGGAGAAACTGAATTTCGCGTCACACTGAGTATCACATGACAGCAGAAATGTATTTTATTTGTAACTAGACTGAGAGCTGCAGTGCAATTAAGAGAAAACCCCATTTTCTACAATGGGGGAATTCTCATTTGAGTCTGTTGGGCTTGAGTTTTTTTGGGTTTTTTTTTATTCTTTTTTTTTTTATGAAAGTTGAAATTAGCATTTTGAGAATCAGTGCTGTAGAAACGTAGCCTGGGGCGAAGGCTACACTGACAGCAGTACAAGATTCTGTGTTTGAGAAGCTGTCTACTATTACTTTTTATGTGGAAGAAAAAACTAGTTATGCAATAAAACAGAGTCATCCAGAGAGCAATGAAATTCTGTTGTTTTATAACATATCAATGTTAAAAAGTAATTAAAAAGTCATTTTTCATTGGTTATAGTCTCAGTAGCTCAGCCTTTATTTTCCAAACTCAATTATTTTTTATCACTGAATCTAGCAAAATTTGGACTGAATTCTACAACAGGAGCAAAAGGACTTTTTGTTGGTCTTTTTCACAATATGCTGGAGCAAAAGCACTGACACTCTCTGTTAGATACTCTGTGTTATTTGCTTTTGATTCTGACATGATCATCACCTCGCTGCCAGGCTTCAAAGTAATCTTCTATTTCTCTTCTGAGCCAAAGATGTTTTATTGAAGAGGCAGGCCTACAGTGGAGTAATACCAATGTGATAATGATATACTGCAGCAGTGAGAGCACAGCTCTTGCAGCCTGTTGAATCCCCTTCACTCGGCGGTTCCAGATCCAAAATGGTCTTTGAAATGGGATGATGTAGAGCTTGTTACTGAGAAGACGCTGCATGGGGTCTACAGATGAGAACAAGTTGGAAAACAAAATGTGCCTCTGCTGTGTCTCCAGTGGCTGAGACTGGTGAAGCTTTTGTCACTGCTTTCCTGATGTGTCTTCGTTTGTGTGATGTGTCTGCCATTGTGTGTTGTTGTAATTCTAAACCGAAGCGAACCGAAGGCTTTCAGATCGGTTAGAGAAATCCAGTACAGTGTTGTGTTGATCACCTGTTACAGAGGGTAACAAGAGGGTTAGGACTAGAGTGTAACTGTTTCCAACCGAAAGCCCAAAACAAATAAAAGTCTAAAAACAAAGATGTATGGGGATGTTGCTGCTTATAAGCCCCTATTCTGAATATATAGAGTAAACTTAACTACAAACAAAACTCACTGTTAATTCTAACAATTCTGTGTCAGTCAGTCAAAGTATTTGTGTGCACATGCATATATTCAACTGGTGTATTTTCTTATGCTTATTTAACACCATGTTTGTCTGACTCACAGGAGGAGATGTTTGTCCCCTTTCCATTGCGGCTCCAGAGGAACCAGGCTGGCTATGCATGCATCACCAAAGCCTTACCCATCCCCAGCTCCAAAAGTGAAATCCAACAGATATCTGTAAGTACTCGTCCACTGATCACCACAGATTTTTTTCTTTTAAGAGTGTGTGTGCACCTCTGTGTGTACGTGTGTATCTATATTTATTAACGTCTGTGTATAAATATGGAGAGTGACTCCATGCAAGTAAAAGAAATACGGGCATAGGTTGTTGCATGTATTTGTGTGAGTGCAGGAATGTGTGTTTGCAGGTATATTACTGACTCTGTCTGGTTGTCTCTGTGCCTGTTAATTATTGTGAACGTGTATTTGTATGTGTGTGTGTGTGTGTGTGTGTGTGTGTGTGTGCACGCGCTTTTGGGTAGTGTTGATGTATAAATCCTGGCATGCACATCTCTGCTCACTTTGCAGCTGCACTGGTGCTAATAGCCATAAGCTTTCTTTGGCAATAACAGTGTCCAAGTGTGCAAGTGAGCCCCCAGTCAGCTGCTGAGTGACCGGATGTTTTCAGTAATTGCAATAAAAAGGTCCTCAGATTTCATAAATATTCATGCCTGTATAACATTTCAAAACACTCTTGTCTGTGTCTACTGAGGTTGTGGCTACTCTCCAGCAGGGCGCAGCCTTTTCTGCTAAAGGTCAACTTGATCAGTAGAGTGGAAGCTAAATTGAGCCAAAGGCCAGTGATGGGTGAATTGACCGATGTGAACTGTAATTTGGTTAATGTGAAGTTCCACAAAAATCCCCCTTCAACTAACAAAGGCCAAGTACAGTATGAATAGCAAAAGGAATTTCTTTATGGACTCATTTGGTAATATTTGCAACTGCTGGCTGAAAGTTTTGTCATCACTTTAATAATAAGTGTGATCTTTGAAACTGCACGTACTTGCAAGACTCCTCTTTATGTTAGGAATTTATCTTCTACCCTTTGTATTGAAATATTGCCTGCTCTGCGGTTTAATGGCCATTTGTGTGGCGGTCATTTGCTCTTTCTTTACAGTCTGCTCTGCTTAGGGGAACTTAAGCAGACTCCACTGCTTCATCCATGACATTTCAACCCTCTTTTGTTGCTCAAAGTTTTGTAGCTGACAAGCCATTGATCCAGAGCCATGCTGTTATTAAGTTCTTCAGTCTTTTTTTGATCACTCTTGTTCGTGACTATCTTAAAGAAACTCTTATGGGCAAATGGCTGCTATTCATTACAAATATAAATGTTCCTAGAAAGACATGAATAGAGTAAAGTGCAATGCTGTTGCAGCTGTGTCGTGCTTTGTTGCGGTGTATTTTTATATTATATTTATGTTAAAAAATAATCTTGTGGTCAGTATATGTCTTATTTCACTCTTTTATCCAACTCTTCCTCTGTGTGCCCTGCAGGATAAATGGTTGCTCCACTCTGTGCTGATGCTGGTCCAGTCCTGGATCGAGCCCTTGGTCTACCTGCAGACCACGCTGGATCGCTACGATGATGCTCCAGACATGCTGCTCAACAAGACCAAGTGGGTGTCTGAGAAACTGATCAGTCTGGAGCAAGGGGTGGTGGTCCTTATCAAGAAGGTGGGTCAAATCACAATAGATTTCATTTTTAAAATGATAAATCATGTTTTAGTCCCAGTGTTATAGCTTACCTCTGTCTTTAAATCCCTTCATAGACAATACACCTTTTTAATTATTTCCTATATATTTCAATTGTTTCCAAATGTTGCCACACAGATGTTGGATGAGGGGACGCTGACCACAACCAACAGTGAACAGGGAATATTCCAGTATGATGTGCAGCCAGAGATGCTGGAATCCGTTATGAGAGACTATACTCTGCTCAGCTGCTTCAAGAAAGACGCCCATAAGATGGAGACTTTTCTCAAGCTCCTCAAGTGTCGACAAACTGACAAATACAACTGTGCATAAAACATGTGCAGCTGTTAAATAATACAATGTTTAGCTTTAAATGAATTCCTGTAGTTGGTAGCTGTGCACTTATAGATATGACCATGCCTTAGGCGACTCAGCCTTGCTTACAGTGCGGTACATTCTATATTGATTATTTTGGAACACCTTCACATAAAACTAAGTCGGTGTAATGCTGTGCCCTTACTTCATCATACTGCAGTTTATATTTCCCAGCTCTCAGTTGTTATTTTAACCTGGCAAAGGCAGCAGAGGGCAAACTCCCAAAAGATTATTTGCGTGTCGAGCTGTCAAAAAAATCTGCATATCCTGCCATTGATTTCCATTTCCTTTGTTCTTAACTGGAGTTTGTATTCCTCGCTGCCTCTTGCAGTGTTTTGATTATTCCCACGGCCCCTTGAGTATTCAGTGAGACTCCCTTTTTAAATGGAGTTGGTTTCACTTCTGCATTAGCGAAATGAAACACTTTCACCGGAGATGGGAGTCAAACAGAGAGCAATCGCTACTTAGAAAAGGAGACACATTTTGATTGGCGAAGGAGAGTGTGAGAGAGAAGGAGAAAGAAAAAACAGCTAAAAATGAGAGGCAAGCCTTATCTGGAGATTTAGGTAAGGCTCAAGTTGATATTTGTTGAGTGCTCATCAAAGAATCATGAATATTTCTAGGCTTAAATGTGCCTAATTTAACGTGAATGTAAGAGTCTATTAAGGAAATACTTTCTTCACTTTGAATAAATAATTCAAATGAAGAAATATACAATTCAAATTTTAATTGTTAGATGTTATGAATATATAATGCAGAATGCAAACCACACATTTTTGTACTCTCATGTGTAAATAGAAGAAGCCCAGTGTAATGTGAAAACCTTTCTAGTCGCTGATTTAAGAAGCTAATAAAGCAAATTGTGGAAAGAAAAGAGAAAAAAATGGTGGTTTTGACATTAATTATTTTGTGTTATGTTTTGAGTGAGTGACTGAGTGACTGTCCATAACTGAGGTGAAGAATCTCCAAAGTCAAGATGAAATAGAGCCATTTCCATGTACTTGATTCTGCCCTTTCCACCCCCAAACACAAGAGGGTAGTAGTGCTCTGTCATGAAGGTTATCTTAACAACTAAATTGTTTACTTGAACTATCATGCATTTTATCACATTGCATCTTGCACCGCCGAGAGCAAAGCTAAAATGCACTGGCCTGGGGGAGAGAGACTGAAACTTGAGTGTTTTCTCTTTATTTGTTGCTTAAATTATGTTATTTCCTCTTTTTTCTTTAGATAGATAAGGATGCAAATGTGGGATAATACCAGACATGAGCCACATAAAAACCCATCTATTAAAAGTTTCATATCAGACACAACTTATTGTTGCAGATCTCTTGATCCATGTGATCCCAGAAGCCAAAATAAAGCACCTGCAGTAGTTATCCCACTTGCAGTTAATAAGCTTAAATTGGCCGACTGTATTGCTTGTTCCTGTTTACATCTGCCACCACACCATCAGACAGGGAAATAATAATGGAAGAAGTTGCCACAAGCATTTTTCTTTCCTTTTTTTCTTTGGTGTCAGGTTTCTTCTTGGCTGTATTTCACTCTCTCGGGTGTCCTGCTACATCCTCTGCTCTTCCATCCTCTGTAACCATATCAGAAAAGGTAAATCAGCCCTGTGGTTGCCACAGTGAGTCCGGTGTCAGCAAAGAGAGGTGGTATCATGTGGTGTGGGTGGATGTTGAGGCAGGATGTGGTAGGGGGGCCTAGTGTCAGCAATGTCAGGTTCAGCTTCCTGTGGCCTAATCACTTCAGTATGGGGGCTCAGAGGAGATTGGGTAGCCTCTGTTCTGCTCTGCAGGGCTGCAGCTCCACAGCCTACAACCTATGTAGAGCAACCATCACCTTACTTTGTTTGGTCCCTAACAACACGTGAGTAATCACAGGCAAGCTAAAGCCCTGTGCCCCCACCCACTTCTCGAGCTTTGAGGCCATAAATATTAAAGATTGGCTATAAGTAGTAAGAGGAGGGAGGGGATCAGTGGAGGGAGATAAAGATGTTAGGGAGTTGAAGGGGAAAGAAGGACACAGAGATGAAGGGAGGGGTGTGGGGGCCCGGGTGATTTCACAGTCTAACTATTATAACCTGAGGAAAGGAAATCTAGACTGCTGAGGTGCATAAGTGGAGCAGAGGAGGCGGACAGAGAGGGAGAGGAAAGGAGCAGGAAATGTAAAGAGAATGGACTGAGAGAGGGAGGCAAAGAGAGGTGAAGTGGGCAGCTGTTTCTTTTTTGTTTTTTTTGCAGTGCTGAAGTGTGTCAGTCAACTAGAGAGGGAAAAAAAACAGCGGAAACAAGAAAAGAAAAAAAACCATATAACCAAAATGACTGAGAAAGGGTCTGAGCACAGCTCTGAGCAGTGTGACATGCAGGGAAGTAGGTTGGATCTAGAGAGAAAATGGATGGCTGGAAGGCAGGTACACAGCTAGAGGAGTGAGTTAGGCTGGAAAGTGGTGTTGGCTTGATATGAAACCCAGACTCAAAGTACGAAGTCCTTGAGCCTCCACTGGCTAGCTTGGCTCCCACACTGTTGTTGTGCTTTCATTTATGGCTCAAAATGACAGCTTGGAAAGCCCTGAAACAGTCCCACAGCCCCCCTGTGTGATCTCCCACTCTGAAAATCGTGTAGCAACGGCTCCGTGCCTTTCCTCCCTCATTTCTTCTGCTTTAATGACATATTTAGGCTATAGCAAGAACTTGCCACTTAAAAGGTTTGTATGTTTACTTATGTAGAAGTAGAAAATAGGGAATGAGCAGAGGTGAGAGCGGGAGGATGGTCTTCCCTTTGCATCTCCACTTCTGACAGCCTAGGCTGCTGCTTTTATGATACAGCCGTCTCTGTTATTCCCCTGAAAACCACGGGGAATTTGTTTGGGTCATCAAAGAATGGCATAAGGTTTCAAATAAGAGCCAATCAAACCAATCCTGAGCTCAGTAGGCCCAAGGCTACATCATGCACAGCTGTCAGTGTGTAATCTTAAAGTCAAGCATGTCTGTTGGAGGGGTGACACATCTAAAACCCCTGAATGTCCACCCTCAACTAACCCTCCGCCTCTCCTTTGGCTCCCCAGACGAGGCATCGCTTCAAGGCTCTGTGGAGACGTGAGTGAGGGTCAAGAGGTCGTGGGGATCAAGGCCATCCTAACTGTTCCAATATGTTAGAAGATGTCAGGTTGTAACAGCAGCAGGCTCATGTTTCACCCAGGAAAGACAGTGTTGTAGTGGGTGATAGAGAAAGTCATGATGACAGCTGAATACAGCTGAAAACATGTGGGGAAATGAGGATGAAAATATACCTGACTGTAAATGAATTAATTACTTATTATAGTTCATTAGTGTTTCCTTTGATGGATAATTAAATTAATAATTACATTGCAGCTTTTATAGAGAACTAAGAGCTAAGCAAGCAGAATTGAATAACTCCTTTGTGTCTCTTTGTTTACCCAAATGTTAAATCAATGCACTGTTATGTGAAAGCTTCTCATACAGTGGTTTTCACGGTCATTGCCATTACATAACCTGCACGTGGTGCAGACACAAACGGAGGGGATGCCTCAACATGTGGCTATGATTAATAGGGGAATATTCCAGTTGTGGTGAAACAAGCCCTATGGGGTGTCTCTTGGTTTGTAGCACCGTGAATGGCAGGATTTACACCACCAGGAAATTAGGTGATTACCTCGGAGAAGGTGGGGGAACCTGCTGATGCAATGTTAACTCAGTGGGAGAGCAGCCATCAATTGTCCCAAACTGAAAGCAAGGAATTACAGATCTGTTGTCCTACATGGCATTCCAAAGCTTTGACGACACAGAGACAAACAGGAGGAAAACATCAGTGAGTTGTAAATAAATGCTCCAGACAAGCAGCCGAAAATATGCACTTAAACTTTGCTTTGTCACAGCTCCCATCCCCTGGCTGATAGCTTTCCCTTGTTATGACAGTTAGTGAAAAAAATGTTAAATTTGTTTATTAATATTATTATTAGGTTTCTCAATCATAATCATTCATAATCCAGTGAGGTTGTGGTGTTGGTTTGTGCATTTAATTGTGGTGAAATTATTATTACAACACATTACATTAGTCCAGACTGCTCTGTTTTGAATGGCTCTATGACTGGTTGGTTATGCACAGCACTTTATGTGGACAATTCACTTTTCAGCTTTAATGTCTCTTATTTGTAGCTCGTGTAAATAATTTATTTCCAAAATTATGCAAATGAAAATGTTCAAAGAAATATAGACACAGTTCAACTCAACCATAACCTGTCATTTTCTGGCCAATTTTCTGTACTAGGTCTTTTAGCCGAAATTTGACTTAAAATGTTTTTGTCAATTAATCTACTGATGACTAAAACAACTAAAATGTCATGTGTTTTCACTGACTAAGACTAGACTATACAGAGTTTCAGTCGACTAAACAATACGACAGTTGAAGTTGACTAAATGTGACTAAAACTAACATGAACATTTAGTTTTAGACTAAAGACTAAATCTAAAACTAGGTGACAAATTTTACACTATTCATTAATTATCATTAATTGTTAGTGTAATTTAATTTGTATGAATTGACTCACAATAAATATAACTTTATTGAAGATAAATTTGTTGAAAATGATGTAAAATACCCCAAAAAGGCTGTTATCCCACATTCCATTAATAAGACAGTGAAGAGAAATATCTGTAGTGGATATTATGCTATTATAACAGTACACCTACTGCTATGATTCAGCTCTTTCCTAATGTCCCTCTGAATCCTTTTATGAAGCTTTGAGTGGTATTCAGCTTTTGACAGTTGAACAAAGTGTTTCATCTTCATTGTGTATATCCTTATATGTTTCATTTATGAATGAAGTCAGCAGTTTGCAAGTCTTTTCAGCCTCATGCACAAAAAAAGCCATCTTTAGTTGAAGTTTATAGTTCCTGTGATAAAGCGCTGAGATGCTGCCACTCACTTCCACT